ACACACACACACACACACACAAACAACCCCATGACAATATGCGTTTTGTACTGCTGTTACACAGCAAAACGCATAAAAAACCATACCTCGTTTCCAATAACTTAGCTGGATCATAGTATCGTGGAAAGCGGGCACGTGTCTTGCAATTTTTGCATTCGTAAACTTCAACACGATCGGCGCCAGGCTCCGGTTTCAAATCAGATGCAGTTAGTTTGCTTTCTGAATGAAATGCCATATTAGTATTCTCGCTGTCCTATTTCTAGCATTATTTTGCGCAGTAAGGGGCATTTGCCGAAACGAGACCTCGAAACTGCAACCTTCGCATTTGTCCATATCTTGCTTGCATGATTCGCATTTCAGTGCGTCCACCCACTTGAAAAATTCCGTCTTGAACCAATTTAATAGCCATTTTGCGAGCTCAAATTCATTCGTTTTTTCATTCACATCATTCGCCACCGGTAGCTTGTCGTACGGCAGAAGACTTCGTGCAAGTGTCTGTGCCACATCGTCTTCATAAAGCGCCATCTAAAGTGAAAATTAAGTTTCAGCACTAAACACAACCTCACCAATTACAATTATAATCAGTGAAAAATCCACAGTTATTAAATATCAACAGAGGGTAAGGAGCACATACACATTATTCTAGATGTGGCCTTACATAGTGAATGTGGATGATTTTTGTGCGCAGATGACGCAAGGAACTAAAATTCAGATTAAAGTCTGCACTTTCCCAGCGCCTTAATTCCAATCTTTATCAAGATGCGAGACCAGAAATTAGGAAACGTCCCTGGCTCCAAATCTAATGCAGCTATTTCAAATCCAGAACTACAAGTCGTCTAAACAGTAATGCGTATGTCCGGCTTTTATGCTCCCAAAACTCCAGTATTCCTGCTTCAGAAGTTAAAGTTTATTCCAATAGACACAAGTGGAAGTGACTGTGTCGCGCATATTTTATCTGATTTAAGCAGTAAAATTCGTTAGAATCGAAAAACTGAAAAGATTTTTTTTTCTAAATTGAAAATACGCTGCTTAGTAAAAACTCACTTTTTCTGCGTAGCTAACAAACTGTTGTAGGAATGCATTTTCGTGTGGCGTTATAACAGTGAATTGGTTGAGTTGCTGCACAATCTTGGCTTCCAGCATTTCCACATTGGCGCCCAACAGTCGGTCCAATTCCTGGCCATTGCTCAGCAAAACGAAAGTGGGCATGGCACGGATTTGGAACTGCGCACTGGTTTCTTCAATTTAAGCTATGGCAAGCACAGCAATAAATCCAGTATTTATGGCACTACAAAATCAAAAGCCACACTTTCTGGCCGATCCAATTTCAGCGCAAACTTCGCCTCTCTCTACTTCGCAAGCAGCAAAAGCAACACACAATACTGAAGACCCTTACAGCACTTCTTCCGGATTCTGTGTAATTCGTGCACAGCAGCTTCAGGCGGAATACAACCACCGAACAATACTAATTCGTTGTATGTGTCAAATTTTTCTTAAAACAGTCGAAAATATGGGCAGCAAATTCGGCCCACAAATTTGCCTCATAGTGTAATTTCCGACAGTCGTCTTCTTTTCACTTTTGTCAATTTTGCATGCAATTTTGGACTTATCAAGAGTATTTTACTACGGGACGCAGCAAAATGAGCGCCAGCATCAACAATATTTGGCAACGATTTAGTTTGGCTTAAAGTAAAGAAGGGAAACTATATCGGTAGCGTGGAAATAAGCTGAAAAGAGGTCTTGCTGAGTAAAGTTTAAGTAAAATTCAAAAAAAAGAGAGGGAATTAACATACGTCGACATATTTCCACGTTAACTTTGATGAACACCACCTGCTGGTACTTCTCCGAGAGATTGTGCACATGCGGTGCTATCATGCGACACGGACCGCACCATTCGGCGTAGAAATCCACCACCATCAGCCTGGTGCCCGCATCGGCGAGAAACTGCCCGAAAGCCGAGTCATCGGGCAGCTCACGCACAACCATCGCCGCCCCCCTGCAACGAACACACTTCGATAGGTATTTTTACAGCAATACCCAGAAGTGACCGTGCGTCTCAATGATCCGGTAACACAGAAGGCACCCAGTAGTACGCTCATAATGAGTCAATCAGCAACAAAAACACACGTTCCCCGTTAATCTGCACGTACTCAGGCAACCCATACGCACGCAATTATCCGAATCACACGTAATCAGCCAATCCTATAGCCGA